GCTTCTTGATCACTCTGTAATTATCATGAGGGTTCTGCAGTAAGTTGTGCTTTTCAAAAGCAAACAGCCCCCCTCCCGTAAAATGTCATTTCCTGCCTCCCTGGCTCTAATGTTTCATAGGTTAGGCTGTTCATCTCATATAGCTCTAGCGTTTTGGCTCAGTTTGAAATGGTGAGGGGTAAAAGAGAGAAAGGCTACTTATAAGTCTTGTCTCTCTGAAAAGAGAAGACGTACTTGGATTTTCCTTAATCTTATTTGACTCCATATAAGAAAAACAGCTTTCATGAAGCACAAAATACAGCTAAATTCATCTTCCTTCTTTGAGAGTAAGCACAGCTTTCAATGTATTTCCCCCCCTAAATTTTATGGTTGCTGTTGAGAACAGACAGTAAAATATATGGCAATTAAAAACAAACATTTCTAAGTGCACAATGACGTGATGTTGAACACGTTCTTCAGGCTGTGATCCTCCTGCGCCGTTCTTCCCTCGCTCATACACGCTCAATGCCCCCTAAGGCTCCTCTTCAATCTTCTGAGTCATGTTTTCAATTTGATCCCATGGAGGGAATTAAAAGAGCATAATGCTCAAGGCAGACCTGTTTTACTAGTTAACCCAAGCTGCTGTTTCCGTTTTAACGTGACTTCAGGGGATATTTCTGGTTTACAGATTATTTTCCGACATGTTTCCAGAAGGTCTGAAGTTCAAGAGCATTTAAAATTCTGTTCTGCAGCTCCCCCTTTTTGATCAGGATTCTTCCATGGAAACTGTGATCAAAATGTTCGGCGATGGCAGCCAGGCACCATCCAGTTTTCCTGGTCTCATAACGAAACAGTTTCCGGAGGCCAGTGAACGCTTGATAGCCTCCTCTGATTCCTAACTGGCCTTCCTCTGTCGTTCCACCCAGCTACAGGCCCATGGTGCCTTCAATGGCCTCTTACAAGCTTTTAAGACCTCAGACACCATGCAACTAAGTAGGTGGTAGAACAAAAGCATCAAACATGTTACTAGGACAGTTAACTGGGATATCCCATGAAGCCAGGACCCTAAACCTGCAATTCAAGGAACCGAATCCCTAGATGCCTGAATGGTACATACACAACCGCAACAGCTACTTTGTTTCCCCTTTTTCGTCATTGTATCAATTTATTTCTTGGATGTTAACACACATTACCCATTACAATATTTTTAAAAGAACACAACTATACTAGCAAAGAACTACTTAGTTTTTTATTTAACTCAGTCAACGAATGTTGCTTGAGTAACTACTGGGTCCCAGGTACAGTTCTACAGAAGACAGAAATCAATCTAAAAACAAAAAAACCCTGCCCTCACGAAGCTTATATATTCTGTGGGAGTGAACTGGGATAAATTTGATAGTCATGAGTTTTGGTGAGAGGAGAGCAAAAAGGCAAATGATAGAGAATATTGAGTCGTAGTAAGGGCTTTGGAGCAAAGCTGAGCAGGAGAAGGGGATAAAGAGAGTGTTGGGTGATGAGGGTGGCAGCTTTAAATAGAGTTTGTCTGAAAATGCCTCTCTGAAAGGTGTTTCTGCCAAGATTTGCAAGGCATGCAATTATTAGAGAAAGAACATTCTGGGCAGAGGGAACAGCAAATATAAAAGGTCAATGGCAGGACAGTGTGTGGCATGTGTGAAGGAAGAGCAGTTAATAGGCCAGAAAGACCAAAGTGAAGAGGTGAAGAGGGAAGGGAAGTGGATAATAATTACCCTAGCTTTCCTTTCCGGCTTTTCACCAAGATCATCCTAAAGAATGACTTAAAACTCGCTTTGTGGGTTTACGAGAAATCGGAGATCTAGTGACTACTTGACTTTCTCAACCTTTTTTTGTGTCACAGACCTCCAACAATTATGCTTTTCGATGAATAAATTAAAAAATATTTAAATTAAGTAACTAATTATATTGAAGTACTGTTCCTCCATAGGCTTCCCTCAGTCCCGGCAGGACTGCAAGTTAAGAACCTGGAATATGAACAAGGAAACTTTCTGGAGTGAAAGAGATGTTTGATGTCCTAATGGGTATTAGAGCTGCAAAGTATACACACTTGTGAGAGCTCATTGACTTGCATATTTAGGATCTATGTAATTCACTATGCAAATTATACCTTAAAACAACAACGAAAACATTCTAAAACCTGTTTATTTTAAAGAGGAAAAAAAGGTTCATTGAGAGGTTTGATAAGCTGTTGAAAGCAAAATGATGGTCGACTGGGTAAACCCCCCCTAATTCACAATTAAAGGCTCGAAGAGGGGTGGGGGTGGGGGTGGTAAAGGGGAGTGTCAAGGAGTTCGAGGAAGAGAATGTTTCGAAACGGATGGTGGTAGCAATTGCATAATACTGCTTGATGTAACTGAACTATGGAACAATATATTAGCTCAGAATAAAATAGTTTTGGGAAAAAAAGTTTAGAAAATCAAAAAAGGCTCATGCAAAGTCATAAAGATTTGCTGAAGTCTTCAATGACTGGCTGCGCTGACTGATATGCACAGGGTTGGTTCCAGTCAAAGGTTCTCCTAAAGACCTAGCCTCTCATAGACACGAGTCATTCATGATTTTATTTTACCATTATGAACTACGTCCATTCCAAGTGACCAAGCTAATTTTAAGAACTAGAAGCCCAAATGTAACTAACCCTAACAAGATGCCTGCCCAACGCACAAACAACAAAGAATATCTATGACTTGGGAAAGAGAGGGAGCTGTGTGCATTAAAGAGGCAAAAAGCGGGGGAGAGAGTTAAAATGGAGAGAAAAGTGTCATTTTCTATCTTTCTTAAGCTCGTCGGTTAAGAAAAATAGCACTTTTAATAGCTTTTGAAATGATTTTTCTCCCCGTAACAGGAGGTTAAGCCTACTCATTTGCATAGGAAATAATCATATACGTAGGAAGAAGAATCTTAAATCAGTACTTTTTGTTGACTTACCAGATTGGACACTCTAAGATTTTCTGCATCGCAGTAAGGACATTATGTACTTCTTCAATTCGAGCCATAGGTAAAACTTTTTCGAGCTCTATTGAACTGTAACACATCAAGTGCATATAACTAAGTAACTTGAAACTTAACAGCTTAAGCTTTTAAGTGTCATTTTTTAATAAGACTTAAATTGAAGTGCTCTAGAATCAGATCAACTATATAGTTACTGACAAAAGCCTTTATTTTTTAAATTCTTTATTTTTTATAATTAGAGTTTAAATTCTCTATATTTCTGACTTATAACCTCCAACCTCATCCTTTTGATCCTTTCTTTTTTCCCAGGAAGGTCACTATAGGTTTCCCTGAGCCTGACTGGGTAGGTGGTTTGTCCCCAGCTTTTTCCAGTCATCCTGGTTGTTTCCTTTTCAGGTTTAAAACCAAAACGAAGAACACAACCCCAAGCAACCAACACTCCTGACTCCTTCCCCCAGCATTGCCAATTCACCTGCGCTCATCTCTGAATCCTGAACCTCCAGCACTGGCTTTTCTCTTCCTAAGGCCCATCCCTGTGAATAGCACTTGCTTCAACCCCAACTCTCCTTCTTTTAACCTTGGAAAGATTTATGGACCTAGTTCTTTTTGTTGTTGCTAACATTTTACTGTGGTTGGGGGTAAAATTTAAGAGAAAATTAGCCTCACTCAATTTCTACACATCTTATTTAGTGTCATTAATTGCCATCCCTTCAATGTTACAACACTCTTCCCACTTCCACGGTTGTTTCCATTTACTCTTCCTTCCCGCCTTCTGGACTTTGTTATTGGGCAAATGCTGCCCCTTGATCTCATATGGTTGGTTGGTTGGTTGAAGTACGTTTCCCTATTGTTCATTTTATAGGACTGTCTGTTGATGGGTGATTTCCAGGGGTGGGGTCAATTCCAGTTTTGACGGTGCCTCGGGGCCATAAGCCTTGAGGCTTCCACTAGTTTCTATCAGCCCAATAAATCTGTTTTTTAAGATTTTGTTCTACATTTTTCTCCCACTCAAAAGAGGACCAGGATCCTCTTTTGTGACCAAGGCAAAGTAGTGGAACCCAGGCACCACCTGGTTCTGCAGGCTGCAGGCTAGTGGAGGTCGTTTGAAGCCAATTTCTCGGGTCTCTTTCCCTTAACATCCGGTCTATTCCTATTCCTCAAGTACCTTTCCCGGGCTCAGTCTGGCCCCACTACGTCCTCAGGGTCACCACCACCGCCACAGACCAGGCCATCTTCCTCCGCAGGCTCCCGAGAGGCACACTGCAGTCCCTGCTATGATTCCTTCTCGACACTCCGGGCCTCTCCCCGCTCCTCCCTCCGGCCACCTGGCCATCCCACCTCCCCAGAACTCCCCAGATGCACAAAGTCTAAGTCTCCCTAAGTTCCCCTCCAGATGCCACCGAAACTCCGCTCCGGCTCGCCTTCCCGCCTGCCCTTCACTCTGCCCACCACCTGTTTCCCGCTTGCTCCCCTAATTCTCTTAGGGCTCCCTTTCTCGTCCCGGGGCCCTCACCCTTACCCAGAAAAAAGACTCCAGGCTCCCCAGGCCCAGAGGCCTATTTACCAGGACATCCCCCGGAGGCGTCCCCGGCTCAGAAAGGGTCCCCGAGATCTAGTCCGGCGGCAGCAGGTCCGACCCGATCTGTAACTCCCGCGCTTTCCTGTCGCCACGGAAACGGGCCACAGCTACAGGGGTGCGAACCTCTCAGAATGCAGGGGCGAGACACGTCAGCGGAAGGGCGGGGCGGAAACAGGCCGAGCACTGCGGGGCTCCGATTGGTCGCTTGTTCTCCCCGCCCCCGTTGTACGTCATCAGCAAGGGCCGGAAGGGAAGGAATCTCTACCGCCCCCTCGGCCCCACGCTCCCTCGGGTTTGTTATTGCGTCACAGTCACCTCTGGGCCGGGTTCGCAATCGCTCTCTGGGGCCCGAATATGCGCGGAACTTAGTCCGGAACGGTGGCAGGAAAGGGCCTACCCCCGCCCCACCCATCCCGCCCCCTCAGCCGCCATGGAAGGCTCCACTTCAAGTAAATAAAGGGCTCCGTGAAGAAACTACCACTTCCAGCATGCAATGCGGGACGAAAGGCCTTCGCCACGGCGTTCTTGGAAACCGTAGTTCTATGGAGAGGTGCTTTCGGTACCGGAGGCAGGCACGATTCTCACGGAAACCGAGTTGCTAGACTGGCGATTCCTGCGGGCTCGTGGGCCGCGACACCTATGGATCGGAGGGCGTGTCTTCGCATCTTGAGAGCGGGGAGTAGGCGAAGGAGCCCACCGATCTTAGAAAGACTACAATTCCCACCCAGCCCCACGAGACTCGCCCTGGAAGTCCTCCAAGGTCGGTCACTCGGGAGAAGACCGGGAAGCGCTTGCCCACGTCTGCGCACTCTTAGATCCGCCCCTCTCCTCCAGGGTTTGTTATTGTTGTGCGGTTTAGGCGCTCTTGTCCCGCCCCCGCCTGGGCTGCCTCAGCCAATCAGCGGGGTGGCAGCTTTGAGGGGCAGATGCGGGCAACCAATCATCTTGTCGGAAACTCAGAAACAAGCCCCGGCCCTATATTCAGCCGCCATGTTAGAGGCCCTCCACTGGGGCCGCAGCTGCGCTGGCCGCGCTCCGTCCGCGCACCGGCCTCCGGCAGGCGCCCCCCGGGGGCGGGAAGCTGGTAAGGTTGCCGCGGTGGCTAACTCGGGGTGGCGTCACGTCACACTTGGAAGGTTTGGGGAAGTCCCGGGGAGAAAGCTTGCAAAAGGGAAGGGCGGCCGATCCCTTCCCAGATCTGAGAAAGAACGGTTCCCGTGTGGAGGCGCCGAGGGAGGAGGAGTGGACGCCTCCCCGGAGATGAAGTGTCCGTAGCTCGGCGCTGGCAAAGAAAATGAGCGACAGTCTGAAGAGGGTGGTGACATTTATCATAGGGCTGGGGTGGGGGGGTGGAGTGCCAAGAAATGGTAACTGAGATTTGGAGGAAGTTGGCAGGAAAGAAGGGGGGGGACACTTCTGTAGATCCTCACCCCATCCTCCCGTTTGTGAGAACTTTATAACGAGATCTCCTTGGCCAGCGACCTCCCGTGTTGTTGGCAAGGCGCCGTTTTTGTCCTTGTCACATTCAGCTTCCAGGTCCCATTTCCTTTTGGGAGCCTGGGTAGCTTCGACAGGCCTCGCGTGGAAACAGTAGTCACACATTCCCAATTGCAGGTCTGCTTTATTAAAGGGATTTTTTTTTTTTTTAGGGCAGGGAAATAAAAGACAACGAACATAGAAGGAAAGATGGCTTTGTGCCAAGCAAAGGTGAGTCAGTGGCATGAATTTCCCATGAGACGAGTTATGAAATCCGAAGGCCTAGGCCCAGGCTGCCTAGCTGTGCTGACTTTGCACTTACAGGAGTCGAGGGGTCTGTCATGTGGTGTTTCACAAGTTCAAGATGAACGCTCCGACTGGAAGAGTAACAGCCAGAGGGAGGCAGATTGTGGAGGCCTGCCTGTCATCCAGTTAATACTAGAATCTCCCACTTCCTGTTTCTCTCCATCAGCCGACTGAGCTGGATGAGCTCCAAAGTATCTAAACTAATTTCCAATTGTGTAATTCAAGACCAGGGGAGGGAGGTTTTATTTCCTGCGGGGCACTTCTGAAGGGTAGAGCAGGGTTGCTTAGAAATTGAAAAATAGAAATGCATTTCAAAATATCCACTTTGGGTAGACTGAGTCACTTCCACTAAGATTCGTTGATGTTCCGCCACGTACCTGGAGAGACATTCTCTCCACATTTCAGGAGCTCCTTGGAATTTCATTCCATGTGAATAGATTCTAGGTGCTCAGGTCTGATAATTTGGAGGTGAACTTGGACTCCTGGTGGGAACAAAGAATGGAGAGGAGGGAAAAATGGGTTTAAAGTGTCAAAAAGCCCCTGGTCCTCAAGAGTTCAAGGTCATTTTTAATGGCCCTTAGTTGTGTTGCAAGTGAATTCCTGGGTTGAACGGAGAACACAGGACTGTGATCAGTTCTGAAGAGCGGTGGTACTGTGAGATAGGAAAAGCGTTTAACTCGAAGGTTAGGTGATGTGCTCCAGGTTACCTTGTACGACTTGTAACTCACTAGACTAGAGCCAGGTCTGGAGCTGAAGTTGTCCTGTCCCTTGCCTTCCCTAATGAAACATCATCGAGCCTCCACCCTATCTCCTGTCCCTGCAGCAGTGTCTGGTGGGTGTGGTTTTTTTAGATGCTCATTACATGTTTGTTATTGAGTATGCTTACGAGCTGACACTTCACAACAATTTAACTGTGGATTTTAAACAAGCTATTTTTCATGGGAGAAAGACAGTAACTTTCTACTTCTGTAAAGAGTTACCCTCTCGGCAACCCACAGAGGCAGTTCTGTCCTCTAGGGTCCATGATTCCCAATCGACTTGATGGTAGTAAATTTAGAATGCCGTTTTTCATAAAGGCATAAACACAAACCAGTTCATCAGTATACAAGCTCCTTATTTGAAAATAAACAACTGGCTAGAGTGGATGCTTGATATTTGTTAAGTCCTGTTCATATCTAAAGCACAGCTGTTGTGTTAGGGTTTATATGGATGACTTGCTGCATGGGTGTCAAAGTGCTTAGGATAATTCGGTGGGCACAGGGTCTAGATCATTGACCCTGAATTGGTAAATTGTGAATGGCAGGTTATGGGTCCATAGCAGATCATGTTATTTGTTCTACTTTTATGTAGGTTTAGAGTTTTTCATAATGAAGAGTTCTACTTTGTTTTTAATTAGAATAACTTGTTTGTTTATAAAACATTCCTGACCACAATGCAGTACTGGTGCTTAAGGGGGAGTGTGTGTGGGGTCGTGGGGGAGTATAAATGAATGAGGGTAACCCTGAGTCGTTGTTGTTAAAGCCAGGCGTTCTTTGTTCTCTCTCTGTCTTTAAAATTTCCCAGTGGAAAAAGGGGCAGACTACACAAAAACAAACTCATGCCAGCTTGAAGGGTGTTGAATACTACTCATCCCTTCTAGTTTGTTCTTTGGCTAGTGCTTTGTCTGATGGAGAGGCTACTGCTTCAAGGAAAAGGTAGAACTTTACTTTCAAGTCACACAAGGTTGTAAGTTCCCTGAGGGTAGAGACCTTGTTTTGTTCCTTAAGTATTTCCTCTTCCTAGCTGATATTCCCCAGGCGCCCAGGTGGTGTGATGATTACAGTGTTAGCCTGCTAACCCACCCTAACTGTAAGGTCAGCAATTGGAAACCGCCAGCAGAAAGATGAAGCTTTCTACTGGGGGTAGAGCTGGTCTCTGACACCCACAGAGGCATTTCTACCCTGTGCTACATAGTCGTTGGGATCGACTCTTTGGCAGTGAGTTTGGGTTGGAGCAGGAATTTAGTACTGCTGCTGTTTGCTTAGTTACACAATTCTAAAACGCCTTTAAGATCTAAAAGGATTTTTTACAAACTCTAGATGTTTTCAATGGGTGTTGCCAAAATAGAAATACCATATATACTCGAGTATAAGCTGACCCGAATACCAGCCGAGGCATCTAATTTTAGCACAAAGACTATTAGAAATGTGCTGGAAACCTCCGCCTCTACAGGAGCATATGTGCTACTCTCAAAAGATAGTTATTTCTTTCGTGAAGAGCCCAAATACTCTAGACAGTAATCTTACGCCTTGCTTACGAACAAGCCTTTGCACGTCGATCGAGCACTGGGATATGTATTTCTTACAAATAACATCTCATTTAACCGTGATATTTGTTTTAAACTACTGATGGGACTGTACGTGTTCTAAGAGCAGGGACATTGGCCATCCTGTCCCCTGCTGTAGCCCTTATGCTTGATCTGTGTCTTGGGTGTTCAGAAATATTCGTGGAGTGACTGAATGTTGGTGCAACTTGTAAGACCCTTCCTAACGTACGTTCTCTCGCCTCCTCTCTCAACTGCAGCCCTACAGCATGGAGCCACAGGTCACTCTAAATGTGACTTTTAAAAACGAAACGCAGAGCTTTCTGGTTTCCGACCCCGAGAACACCACTTGGGCAGATGTAGAAGCCATGGTGAGTGTGCCTTTGGTCTGTATCTCCCGTCGGAGAGACATGGCTCTGGTTTCCAGGGGCCGCTGTTTGGAGCGGTGTGGCCGCACAGCTGGAGCAATTGCCATTTGCTCCCGGTTGCTCCCTAGTCATTTGGAAAATGGTTGGTCTCATGAGCCCAGAAACCCTAGAGGAAGTGTGCCCCATAAAAGGATCAAAGAAATGAGGCCCTTTTTTGATGAATTTAAGATGAAAAGGTAAAATGACCTTTCAAGTAAGATGATTTCCAAAACTTGTTCATCTTACAAGCAGTCTGAGGAGTGAATTGGTGTGGGCCCCACCTAACTAGGCCCCATAATGGTAAACAGATAAGTAGCTGTTGGCAGGGCACCAGGTTTTGCAAGAGCTGATGAATTGGTGGCTTTTATTGCTAGGACAGAGGTTGAATGTTTCAAAAGTTGAGCAAAAAATAAACAACCCTCCCCTTGGTGGTTAGATAGCAGTGTGGTGTCAGGCAGCAGTCGACCGCTCCTTTGTGAGAATGCTTTTCCTGACTGGTTTGCCCTTTGCACTCTGCTGTTTTTGTTCAGGCTGCAGTGGGGAATGTCCCGCTGCCTGTTTGACTGTTTATCCAGCAGAGAGAATTGGGAAAGGCAATGTTAACCCCCAAAGTGAGACGATGGGAGGGAGACCTGGTCTCGTCTCCGCCTGCCTTCTGGGTGGTGATACTGACAGGAATCGGATCCACTCAGCTAAGTGCTCCGAAATCAAACACTCACTCCTAGCACAGCAACACTGAGAGCCAGAGCCTTGTCGGTAGAACCCTGCCGAAGAAGGAGCACCCCCCTCGGGCGGGAGCGTGATGGACAAGTGGTGAGACTGCACCCTGTCCAGGGCGGGAGGCCTGACGAGGCCCAGAAAAACAGCACGGGTTGGGTGAGTTCGGGTAGTCGCTGGTTTCGCTGCTGTTAGTGAACTGACAGCTTGCTTTTTTTCCTCTATTGTCAACTTAAAATTTCCCGTCTAAATTGATAGCTGCACTGTTTTTGACTCACAAGAAGTTTCTTAGGAGCCCCACGCTTGGGGATAGTGGGGGAAACCTGCGTAAAGACACAGTTCACCTTTCCTCCCACCTCTGGAGCGCGCCAGTGTTAACAACAGCCCTGCCTGTTGCCCGTGCTCTCCATGTGCAGGGGACCATCTTACCAGGATCACGGTGACTTTGCTGCTTGTTTGCCTCACTCAGCAGTAGATGACAGACACGGTGCTAGAACGGGCATCGAAGGAAAGCGTGGGTTTTTAATTCACAGATTTTATTAGCGTTAACGACCTGTTCAGAATGGAAGGAGCGTAAAGGGGCAGTAGAATGGAACAAGGGGGAGATTAGAAGGCAATGAAGAGCGAATAGTCTAAGGGAGAGCTGGAGCGAGGAAGACAGGCCGACATGCGGCCTCAGGGCAAGGTGGAGAGAGAATCCTGAGTTAATAGTTAATAAACTGGGGACAGAAGGAAATTCCATCTAAAAGGAGCCTGTGGCCCCCCCCCACCCACCCATTGGCTGTGGCACCAGCAGGACCATGAAGGGGTAGTTGGGGGTGTTTTCTGAGATGTCTTGAGAAGGCGAGGTGTCCTGTTAGGCTTGGGGATGGAGAAGAAGGGTTCGAGATGCAGGCTGTGGCTGAGAATCGAGGCGATACTGCTGGGCCCTCTACGTGAGGATGAGAGCGCGTTCTGTCTTTTTACTTTAACAAATTTAGTTTCTTTTTTTAAAAGGTTACAACATATTTTGAGGGGACATAATTCAACCCAAAATATCCCGTTGTCCACTCCAAAAGCTCTTTGGGGAGCTGTAGCTAGCTACAGTACTCTACTATGGTTTCTTTGTTTGCTTTTAACGTTTTATGATAAATTAGGTGAAACCAACCCAAATCATACCGTTCTGTATTTAATTCATATATCAACTCATCCATTATAATCCCCTGAATAAATCTTCACCCCATTTCTTCCCTGTCTCCGTGTCTCCACCTCTCCTAATCTCTGAACTTTGCCTTTGGGTAAACGTGGCCCTTCTGATCGTCAGTGGTTCATTCTGATACAGAGGTTAGCTCCGTACCAAACCTGAAGGGTACGGGACATGGTTTTGGGGCTCCCCTGAGTCTGTCCAACCTGGTCTCTTTGGATTTTGAGTTCTATTCCCTGTTTTTCCTCCTGTTCTTTTCAGAGCAGTTGGGAGTGTTAGCTGGGCACCATCTAGATCTTCTGAGCTCGGGACTGAGGACACTGGTGGCTGTGGGGTCCGTAGTCCACGGCCCTCGCTGTCTCCATGTGTGTCCCGGTTTTCCTTGGTTGTCTGTCCTCGGCATGGGGACCTTGGCCGGCTGTCGATGAACTTTTAAGACCCCAGTTGCGCACCAAATTAAGATGTAGAACGTTTTCTTTATGAACTATGTTAAGCCAGTTGGCCCTGGTTTCTCCCTTGTGGGTATTGTAACAATACTGAAAAATAATTGGGCTGGGGTTTTTTTTCTTCTTTTTTTGTCACTACAAGATAAACTATAAGAGAGATCCCTCTGGGTATATAGCTCAAAGTGAGATGAATGGGTCACAGGATAACGTGATCGTAAATTTTAATGGCTAGTGTCAGAGTGTAGAAACTCGCTGAAACATGATAGTGCCCTCCTTTTTGACGGCCCTAAAGTAGTATGGCTTTAATCAGTGCCGCCCATTCTGATAGGATGGCCTCTCGTTGCTTTAGCTTGTTGCTGAACCTCTTCTTGTGCATTTGTTAATCGTGCCAATATCTTCTGAGTTTTCAGTACATTTCTGCCCATTTTCACCTACGTTAACCTTGCCCTTAACAGTTTCGCAGATGTTCTTCAGGTGCTAGATAATGATCCTTCGTCGTTTTTTGGATTTTCAGTCTGCTACATTTTCTTAGACTGTTGTTTGTCTTTCGATCTGGCATATGATGTCATTTATAACTTTTCAATTTTATGTAGTAAAATACGCCCAGGTGTTCTGTTGGGGCTTCTAGCTTTTTTTCATCACAATTTGACTTTTTGGTGTCTTGTGTATTTTTCACTTGTAGGTAAAAGTGTCGTTTGATCTGAACACTATTCAAATAAAATACTTGGATGAGGAAAATGAAGAGGTAAGTATGTCATGGTACCTATTGCCAGCCGTCCAGAATATCAAGATGCCCCCAAAGTTAAATCCACTGCCGGCAAATTCATTCTGACCTCGCAGCCCCATGTACCAGCCCCATCTCTCTTCCACAACGCATCCGGTGGGTCTGAACCACTGGCCTGATGCTAGCAGCCTCGCACCTAGCCCACAGTGCCACCCGGGCTACAAAAATTAGGGATCTTATTGAACTGTGGTGTGATGTGGGAATTATATGTCAATAAAACTTTTAAAATTGGGCATCTTGAGAAAAAATGAGGACCTGATGCCAGGGACTTAATTGGAGAGGAAATGTTTTGAGAGTGATGAGAGCAATGAATGTACAAATGTCCTTTACACAATTGATGTATGTATGCATGGTGATAAGAGTTGTATGAGCCCCTAATAAAACGATTTAAAAAAATTAGGCGTCTTTATCTCTCTCAAGAGTGATTTATATGGGGCTCAAAGAGTATAATTTCTTCATGATTTACTGTACATACTCAAGTATAAGCCACCCCGAATATCAGCCGAGGCACCTAATTTTACCACAACTGCATTAAAAATTTGCTGGGAAAACTCAGCTTATGCTTATATGGTAAATTGATCGGGTGGTGTTCTAAGCAGTTGTAGCATCAGTAATGGAGTTGAAAAATAGGAAAGTACCATTAAAGAAATCTGAGGAATAACTTTAAAAACGAGTGTTTTTAGGAAGTCCTAGTGGCGTAGTGGTTAGGAGTGGGGCTGCAATCCCCAGCATCTGAAGTTCGAAACCACCAGCCCCTCCGTGGGAGAAGGACAAGGCTGTCTACTTGCCCACAGTTACAGTCCTGGAAACCCACAGGGGCAGTTCTGTCCTGTCTTACACGGTTGCTATAGGTTTATTATTCTGCCATGAGAGAATTGAGGCACAAAGAAGTTAAGTAACTTGCCCCCAAACACATAACTTGGAAATAATAGAGTAAGGGCTTAACCCCTACCTTCTGGCTCCAGAGCTGAGACTTCTAACCACTATATCACGTGTCTTAGTTTGGCTAAATAAAGGAGGGCACAGTAGCTAAGCAATAAAATTCTTTTGTTGTTATTTTTGTGACCATACAAGCTAACCCCTTGCCTGAGTGCTTATGCTGTATTCTGAGAGGAAGGCTGATCTTAGTAATAGAAATACTCAGTTGATGAAATGCTTATAATTCACTGTTGCTTTTTTTCCTTCTCAGGTATCCATCAACAGTCAAGGTGAGTTCCTGAAAGAACGTGTTCAGCTGTATTTAAGAATCTTACCAGTTCACAGGTTTACGAATTTCCATTTATACTCAGGCTTTATAACAATACAAAGGGCGAAAATGAAAGAAGAAGAAAAAAAAAAACAATACAAAGGGCTTCAAAGAGTTAGTTTAAAAGGGTGGGGGGGTTGTTAAAAGATAACAGCATTTTCCTCTGAATTCTCTGTACCCCTCATATTTGTTTTATATTAGAATTTAGTATGCAAAAGTCAGCATTGCGCTCCCTCATCTGTGGGGATTAGTTACCTAGGAACATTTATTATGGCCGTGCGTTATAACAGGATGACAGCTTTGACTAGACTCTCAGGGGAGTTTCATTGAGAGCTTCTGTTAGATTGAAGATGTGCTGCACGATTTACATTTGACATACTTCACTTCTAGTGTTGCACCTGCACCTCCTGACTTGTGTGTAGTTTTGTGTCGACTTCTAAACCCAGGTTAATGCTGCCCAGGACCCCCAAGTCCTGAGCTTCAGAGAGCTGGGTTGGGTCTTTGTCTCTGGAAGGCACCCGGAGCAAAGAAATAGCTTTAAAGGTAGAGCTGGTCTGCAATGGCTACTCTAGGCTGGGGAGAGGATTCGTCAGCAAAAGGGTGTAGCTGTTCATGTGTTAAAGATGTTAGGGGCTGTGAGCTAAAGGCTCTGAAAAATCAGGGCTGCCTGTACTTTTCAGTCGGTGAACTATCACAATGTCTTGTCTTTTTGTCCTTTTAGGAGAATATGAAGAAGCCCTTAAGGTAAAGTTTTTTCACCTCTTTCTGCAAATCGTTTAAAAATGCTTCTTGATGAAATGCAAATCTGAATTCCATTAGCGAAACCTCCCTTAGGGGGATTCTGGTGAGCAGGGCTTACCATCCAGCTAAAGGGAGCTGATGCCGTTAAACCGACCCGAGCTGCTTTCCGCTTCTGTGTCTCAGTTCCTGCCTCCTCGAGCTCCCTGCGGAACATTGCGGTGAAAAGTGGGAATCTCAGGGAAGAAGCGGCAAGTTGCGCCCCGTCGTCTTCTGTTAACATCAGCAATGGATTAGTTAGAGCACTCCTCGAGGTCATTTCTTCTTGCTAGTGTGCCAGTCTAGTCTGACCTTTCAGTAAGGCTTGAACGTCCTTTATGAGCTGCTAGTCCAAAACGGAGCCCTTTGTCAGAAGAACTTTATTTCCAGGGAGAGAAACTGGGGTTGTCCTGCTCAGCTGCTGGCAGACTAGATCCTTTGGGGCCAGGTCCTTGGATCCATTTTCACCAGCTGCACCCTGTGTTTCCTTCAGTGGAGATTCCCGCAGCCCCTCTCCACACAGACTCTCTCCTGTCTGCATCCCTCCATGTCGATTTCTTCCGTGTTCCTGGTCTCTCAGCCTTTAGGGATTCTAGCTCTTCCTGGCTTTGCTCTGCCCTGTCCTCAGGAACTATAGTAGTTCCACCAAAGAGTCTTGGACGCCTTCTTAACTTTTCTGCCTTCCCCACAGCCCTTAGGAGCTCACCTGACCCTGGCAGGAGGATTAGACTTCAGGTAGTCTGGAGTTTAACACAAGCCAGTACTTTAACATTTTCATTTGCATAGTACTTGAAGCAAAACCAAACTCACCGCCATCGTGTTCGTGCCGACTTATGCCCCTGTGCACCAGGGCTGCAGATGCATTGTGCTCCCGTCCTCTTTTTCTCTTTTTTT